CGAGCTGCGGCGGACGCCCCGCGGGCCCTCCGTCATCCGGATAAAGCAGGAGCCTCTGGACTGAGCGGACCCGTTTCTTATGCAGAAAGGAAACAACCCACATACCCGACAGCTCGCGCCCCAGGAGCGGGGCCGCGGGTGCCGCTGGGACAGCCACCCACGTCCCGGACGGAACGGTGACTCAGAGACACATTTATATCCAGTAGAGACCACACCTGTACTCACATGGGAACAATTGGAATAGGTGATACCCTCAAGGCGTGAAAAATATATAAATATATATATATATGTCAGAAGGTAGGAAACGCAAAACAAGAAGTGGGAGCTGCGGTTGGTGCTGTGATGGCCGCGGGGTCCTGGGCCCCCGGGTCGACGGGGAACAAGCCATGGCCGGGCGCCTCTCACAGCTGCCCGCCACCGCCATCACCGGCTTTTCCTTCCTCTCTCTTTATCCTCCTTCTTTTTTCTTTTTTTTTTTAACCACAACACACCTTGCCTCCATTCCTTTGCAGCTGGAGGTGCCGCGGGCGGTCTGGGCGGGGCTCAGGAAAGCGGGGAGCACGTGCGCTCGGGGGTGTCCGCCGCGAGACTCACGTGCAGTTTATGCAGAAGTCGCCCTGCTGGTCCGCCGCGAGGATGGGGCGTTACTTGGTTTTTCAGCCGATCCGTTTCGCAAAGGGGCCAGAATTATTACTTGTTAGAGTCGCACCGGTTTGAGTCTGCTGCTTTCCTACGGTTTTTCAAATTTTATAATGTATTAAATACAATAAACTCTGTTTAAGAAAGAAGGTCTGTGTGAAACACACCTGGTGGGGTGAAGCCATATTAAAATGACATTTTCCTTTTCTAAATGTTCTGTGTTGAGCATCAAAAAGAGCCCTCGCCCGGCCGGCATGGCTCAGTGGTTGAGCGTCGACCTATGGACCAGGAGGTCAGGGTTCGATTCCCGGGCAGGTTGTGGGCTCGATCCCCATAACCCAGTGGGGGGCGTGCAGGAGGCAGCTGATCAATGGTTCTTTCTCATCATTGATGTGTCTATCTCTCTCCCTTCCTCTCTGAAATCAATAAAAATAAATGTTTTTAAAAAGAGGCCTAAAAACAGAGGCCAGAGGCCAAAACCCACTGACGGGGAGGAGGCGGTCTCCTGGTCTAAACCGCTGCCTCGGCCAGTGGTGGCCCCGGCTTTGTTAGTCCACGCTGGGGAGCGGGAGAGGCCTCCCTTCTTTCGAGCTCTTTCCCAGTGTCCGTTCGCGGCTGCTGCAGAGCAAACCACGCCAACACAGCGGGTCCCGGCAGCGGTTTGTCTGGTGACTCCGCGGTTCTCTGTGCGGACCGGCCTTCACCGGCGTCATCCAAGGGGTGACAGCTGGGATGTCACGGTGGCTCCCCACGGGGCTGCCAGTGGATATTGGCCTGGGCCCCTCCGGGCGTGGGAGCCGGGTCCCAGGGGGGAGTCCCACACTCAGGGCCTCCAGGAGGGAAGCAACAGCGGCCAGAGGCCGAGGTCTCCCAAGGGTGGGCCTGGACCTGCCCCCGGCACCTCTGCAGCGGCTGCTGCTGCATCAGACTCGGAGCCAGCCCCGGTCCCAGGGGACGGGAGGGACCACCCTCCTGCTGGGGGAGGAACGGGCTTCTTAGCCACCTGGAACCCTTGGGCAGCCCTGCCCTGAAGACCCAAAAGCGGGTTCGGTGGCTCTGGGAGGAGCAGGGCAAATCTCGGGGCCAGACGATCCCTTTCTCATTAGCCAGAGAGTGGGAACCAGGACCACTTTGGGACAAAGCCCTTGGCTTCCCAACGTGTTCGCAATTCCAGGCTCCTCTGGCAGCCCTGCCACCACCTCTTTCTTGTTCCAGACAAAGTAGACGTGGCACAATGGGAGATGGACAGGTAGACTTCACATGATGGGAGATGGACAGGTAGACACGGCATGATGCTGATTGACAGGTAGACTTGGCACGATGGGAGATGGACAGGTAGACGTGGCATGACGGGAGATGGACAGGTAGACACGGCACGACGGGATATGGACAGGTAGACACGGCACGATGGGAGATGGACAGGTAGACACGGCATGACGGGAGATGGACAGGTAGACACGGCACGACGGGAGATGGACAGGTAGACGTGGCACGACGGGAGATGGACAGGTAGACGTGGCACGACGGGAGATGGACAGGTAGACGACACTGTTTCTGCCGCAGACAGGCTCCTGTGGTGACGGGTTCTTTCCATCCTTTTGTTATATGAGAACGTCTGAGCCTGAGGACAGGAGTCATGAAAACGTCTCTGGCTTCTGAAATGAAAAGCTGTGAATGGCTCCTCTCACCCCCCAAACACAGAGACGCCCACACACTCGGTTCCTCAGACGCCTGCTGCCGGCTTCCGCGCGGCGAACTTCCCTGTGTCTGAGGCTAAGACTTCACCATCCACGTGCCCCGAGAGGAGAAAGATGTGCCACATGACTCACGGGTAACCGTTCTCACTGGGCAGAGCTTTCCTAAATCAGTCCATCAAGAGCCTCCCCTTGGGACACGGCCGGTTCTCGCCATCGGCTAACACGTACCCGGCACGCCCAGTGTGCATCTCATCCTGTCCCAACCCACCACTCGCCGAGCTCAGAGCGGAGCCATGGCCATCCGCTCTGTTCTCTACGTTCTGTGCCCACTCACACAGCCACCATCCAACTGCACAGCCTTCCCTCTCGGGATTTCTTTGCACCGGAGATGTTAACATTCACTGGCAATCTCTTCCAGAATCAATCATTTACCTTGGTGGCTACACAAGTATCCCTTTTTAAAAATAGGTATATTTTTATTGATTTCAGAGAGGAAGGGAGAGAGAGAGGGAGAGAGAGACGAAAACATCAATGATGAGAGAGAATCATGGATCGGCTGCCCCCTGCACGCCCCCCACTGGGGATCGAGCCCACAACCCAGGCATGTGCCCTTGACCGGAATTGAACCCGGGACTCTTCAGTCCGAGGGCCGATGCTCCATCCACTGAGCCACACCAGCTGGGGCCAAGTACCCCTTTGTAAAAGCTCCTACTGCCTGCACCATTGGTATTAGGAAGACCCTTCCCCTCCCCACTCCCCGCACCCTCTGAGCAAACTCATTCCTTTAGGCAGGGGCACACGAACTACAACCTTGGGCCTGCTCTTTTCTAAGAAGTGTTTTCAAAAGGAGAAGGAAACAAGCCATTTCTAAACTGGTTTCTACATATTCCACGAGCCTTACGTGGTAATAATAACAGCCATGCACTTACTAGTAATGTGTGCTCCGGGTCACGCCCTGTGCCAAGCACTGCAACTTGCATTAACTCATCGAATCCTTACAGTTTTTCCTAAAGGTTGTATTAGCCACGTTTCTCAGTTAAAGAAACTAAAACTCCAAGACATCAAGTGCATGACACGATGAAGGCGAAGGGCCAGTTCGGCTGTACACAGAGGGCCCCAGACAAAGTGAGAAAAAGTGAGTGTTTGTGTAATAGGGTGAGGAGGAAGGCAGATGGTTCGTTAACAGCATTTTTTCCTTAGAATGGAAATGTCTTCTTGTGTCTGAATATTCCGAGCCTTCTTTGCGGTGTGCGGGGCACTGGGTTTTGTTGGAACTATGGTAACGGGACACAGTTTCCACCGTGGGGTGCCGGAGTGCTTAGGGACCTGCCCATCACGGGGCAGAATCGGGGATGCGCGTTGCTAACCACAATGCAAGGCACGCGGGCCTGTGCCATTTCTCATGGATCAGGGATGTGGCGGTGCCATGTGGCGAGGGACCACGTCGAGTTGGGGACATTAGCAAAGCATCCTGGGGGAGGAGGGCCAGGGGGAGCGGCTTTCACAAGGAGGGGAACAGAGGAGGGCAGAGGCTCAGCCGGGGAAGCACGGGGCAGGTGTGGGGTGCAGCTGGATCACGGGACAGGGTGGAACATTCTAGAAAGGGAAGGTGGAATTGGACGGAGTGGGGTGGGGGGTGGATCTTGAGCGCCAGGCTGGGGGCGACTCCATGCAGGAGCTGGGGAGTCACGGAGGGCGGGCCCGTGGGTGTTCTCCTGGGGCCCGCAGACCCGACGGGCGGGGCGCAGCCTGGTGGTGTGGTGGGCAGGTGGCTGCTTCTCCATGTCATCCATCATGACGGTCCTGGCTGAGAGCTGACAACCCGAGATGCGCGAGAAAGTAAGGCATCACCGTGGTGTAGGGTGACAAGCTCAGGTGCCTGCGAGGGCCAGGTGAGTCACGTCAATTAGGGGCGAGGCGAGCAGGAACGGGTGTGCCCCGTCCAAGGGCAGCCCCCCTCAACGCCACAGGCTCTCCTGCCACTTACCTTCTTGTTTTTCTAGAAAAGCTGGATTTGTTTCTGTGAAATCTCTAGACGCGCCGATGTTGGAACCAATTCATCTTTTCAAATGTGCAGGCCAAGGAAGACACCGGCAGTTTGTAACTGAAAGTTATGAAATAATAAAACCGTCTTAGACATTCTAGAAAAATCCCATTTGGGTGGAGTCATGTGATGGCACAAGAATTAAATTGTTTGAGGACATAAAGTTTATAAAAAATGAAAATTTGAGGCAAACTTTTAGGCCTAATGCCATTTGACTGTGAAGAGGAAAATCCTGGCATATGCCTGACAATAGTGATGAAAAGCTACCCTTTGGGGGAGCGGGGGGCAGGGTAAGAGGTCAACCAAAGGACTGTATGCATGCATATAAGCATAACCAATGGACAC